CTCAAGTGTACATAGGCGAGTGGCTATGTGCACTCAAGTGTACATAGCCCCTTCCAATTATTTTCTATGTGGTGCTAATACATATATATTTTAGTTTAGTATATTAAACTCGATTAACTAAGAGAATCTAGTTTTATTCAAAAATCTTTATAAATTTCGATTCTTTAATAGATCTTATTATTGTAAATGAAAAGAAATATCTTTTTATTAATAATACATAAATGAAGACAAACGTGAAAAAAATATTAACGTGTTATACCATATGAGTAAAGTTAGATTAAACCAAATAAAACGCAAGTTGATTTCGTTGTGACTTTATTTTGAAGCAGGTCTTTGTATATTATTAACTAAAAGAAAAACAATTATATGTACATATTTTATTAACAGCTTTTCTAATTCATAGTAATCGATTTAGTCTGGAGAGATTTGTATGTTCAATACTGAGTGACTTATCAGAATCTTTTTATTTCTCATTACTAAAATAAATGTCTAAATATAAGTTAAAAGTACTGCGATGATCATTAATACTAACATAGTGTTAGAGGATGATGTACGCCATCCTCTCGTTAGGCACATACATTTTCTCTTTCTCTTCTTGCGCACATAATTTTTTTTTCTGTTCTCCTCACATATGTGTACATGTTTCTGTTCCTTTCACATATGTTAGACACTATTGCTTCTTCGTCATTTCATTATCTTTCATTTCATCATCTCTGTAGTTTCATCATATTTTTCTTTGTGAAGCTGGATGGTCATTGTCCAGCTCCACTTTTGTTACACTGTACTATTTATAATGCTGACTTATTTTCAATAAATTATCACTATCATCACTCATCCATCTTCCGCATCTTAGAGTTGGCCACCTCGATTAGTTCGACCACTAGTCAGAACGACACGCTCACACATTAGCTTCTTGATATAATAAAATAGTTGTCAAATAGAAAAAACATTTTCTATCGATTGTTGAAAAAGTTTATCATGCAGTATTGTTACAGTAGATTTTGAGAAAAAACAGTTTATTTACTCATTATTATCTCTACTTATTCGTTTTTTTTCTTATTTTACCTGTCGTTTAGGTTCTGGTTCTACAAAATCGAATATTACAACTACATATAAGCGTGCAAGTGATATACATTTTTCGAGCCAAATATTAATTCAACATTGAAAAATGACATCTTCAAACATTCTGCTTCATTTTGCTAAATCTTTGGTGCTGCTTTTATTACTATGATATATCTACACTGCAATCATTCTACTAACATTCTCAGTTCTGGAATCTTTATATTTTAATCTTGCTTTTAAATAAAAATAAATAAAAAAACTGAATCTTTTAATTATTGCCTTTGTTACTAGAACATAAACAATCATATTCCCCTACCTAAAATACATGACACATCTTGTTTTTTCAATTATTTCTCTTTCACTCATTCAACTGATCTCATGTTTGTATCAAAGATGCATTTCTTATTACTTGACTAACTCGAAACAACGTGTGGATGCGAGTGTGAATATTCCATTTCATTCTGTTTGTAAAAATCTAAATATCAATCCATAAGCCTGCTAACCAAACATTAATTTAGATAAGAAACTCAAGTACAATTTCAATAAAAATAGCGATTAATTCAAAAAGTCAATGTTCTAATGCTGATCGTGATTCTGATTGAAGTACACATATATGACACGTTCATTAATATCATTAAAATCGTTTTTTGTGCTTGAGATAGTATTGTTATATCAAAGAACTCCACTAGTATCAAATCAAATTATACATATAACTAAAAGAATCAATAAATACCACTCTCTAGAATTGACTTCATATCCATTGATAACATTCTTATTATAAGGTCTACTCTTTCAATCGATATTAAATATTTTTCATTATACTGATAGGAAAATGAATTGAATGAAACAAAAAATATTTCGTATAGAATTGTAAACATGATTTTTCGTTGATAGATTTTTAAATTACTTTGCATAACATTTCTTCCTTGTACTATTATTAAAACAATTGATAACAAAGGAAGATAGTGACATCAGTAGTATCCATTTCAAACTACACTCACACCCTCAGTTTGTAAAAATAGTAGAATTATTTTGTCAAAACTGATGCATATATTTCGAAAGAAAAAAAAACCTATTCACATGAAAAAAAAGAGAAACATCAATAGAAGATCAGAGCAAAAAAAATGTCTTCTTTTGATGGGTTAATGTAATTTATTCATATGTAGTTTTTTTTGCCAGAAATCATTGTAAATAACCACAGCATCACATTGAATTGAGAAATGTTTTATCGGTATATTAGTAAAACGTTTACTTCCAGAATTATATTTATACCATTTATCTACCATAATTTCTGTTATTATATTTGGACCAATACCATGTAATTTTTCAATCATATCAGTTTCTGCAATATACATATACACAGCACGAAATTGTAGACGATGATCACGAAACAAAAGAACAAAATGTCGCGCATCACTTGATTCAATTTCCTAGATGTAATATTATTTAAAAAATGATTTAAACATTTGAAAAACAACAATAATTACTCGAATCATTATTTCACGTTGTCGTTCATTAGCTGGACCAGCAAGTGCAACTTGCTTAAGTGAATTAATAATCGCTTGTTTATTTGATTTTGTTGTTAATAATGTTTGACTTCGAGTAAGTCGTGCTTCAAAAAAATGGAAAAAATAATTTAAAAAAATCTTAGATATTGTTTTGAAACTTTCTACCTGTTGCTGAAGTTGCTAATGATGTTACTGATTCACAAAATGAATCATCCATTAAATTTAATGTTTTCTTTTTAGGTGTTTGAAATTTTGAAAGATTCATTAAACTTCCTCCAAATAAACTTGTTGGTAGAACTGATTTCGAATTCAATGATGTCGATGAATCATAACATCCATTTATACTACATATACTTGCAGCACGATTCATTTTTGATTTTGATGCAGCTGTTGGTGCTGTTATACTTGGTGACATAAAATCAAATCGTGTTGAACTTCGTTTTGGTGTTCCAGTTATATTCAATGAACCAGTACAACTAAGATCATCATCCAATGAAAGAAATGATGTTACTGAAGCTTTTCTTTTCAGACGATTACGTGCTGCTGCAAAATAATAATCATGTGATGATGGTGGATCAGCTTCACGACGTTTTTGTTCTAGATGAGCTTGCAGAATATTTATACGACGTTGTTCATCTTCTTGTCTTCGTTGAGCTAAATATTCTTCAAATAAACGATATTCATCATGACGTTCAGCTGCCTCAGCTTGTCGTTCAGTTCTTCTCTTTAATATTTGTTCACGACGTTGAATTTGTCGACGAAGTAATGCTTCTTTTTTCATTTGCATTCGTTCAAGATCTCTCGCCTAATTTATAATAAATAAATAAATCAAATAGAAATTATAAAAAAAAAAGTTATATTCTTACAGATAATGGTGCACCAATTAGAACAAAACCGGAATCATTATAACATGTACTATGATCAACATCCACATGGTTATTGTCTGATTCTAGAAAGAAGAAAAAAAAAAATTTTTATTTTCTACATAAATATATTTGATTGTTTTTTACCAATTGATTTAATTACTGTTGAAGGTTTTTGTTGATGTTCTGATGAAAATTTTTTTATCTTATCTTTAATATCATTTAATTCTGCATTTAATTTGTTTAAGACAGGTGCTGATTGATATTGAGCTCTATTATTATTAGTATTAGTTGGAATTGTATGTGCCATTTCTCCTATTCGTTTAAATGATGTTATTACGGGTTGTTTTATCGCTACATCAGGTATTTCACAATCAAATTGTTTTTTCCATAATTCTCGGATAATTTGCATAATAGCAAGCATTTCCTCTTTACTCAGAGGTTTGCTTAAATCAATAATAGCAGCATTTTTCGTTGTTAATTCATTAATATCATCATGATTGGTTGTTTTTGTTGCATCACTTAAACCTGAATCACTTGGTGATTCTTCCACAAGACAGGGTAAAATCGATGGTTGATTATGATGATGTTGACATGAATTATAGAGATAACTGCAATTTGACGACGATATGCATTCGTCGTGCGAATGATAAACATTCTAATACGAAAAAAAAAAGATCGAAGATTTTTGTTTTATTTTAATATTTACCTCAAGTGCTTCTGGTGAAGATAGAGGAGGAGATGAGGATTGATCTCCTACTGTTGTTGCATTATACACTTGATCTTGTAAAGGAAGAGTTGTAAGAGGAATAATTGTTGTCGTTGATGAAGGTGACGCGGACGACACATGACGACAAAGACGTTGTTTTTTAGCATCAAGTAAAGCTCTAAAACAATATTGAATCTTTTTAAATATATATATATATCTTGACTATTTAACATTTGTCTGTTTAATATATGTATATGCATTTCAAAGGATTCCTTCATTAATCCATCTAGTCTGGTTTATTTGTTTTGAATTTTATTACTACTATTAGCATAGACTTTTCTAAAGAATCAATCAGTCAATGTACTACTATCGATATGAAATGAATTGCATAAAGAAAAAATGAGCATATACGTACACGCATACTATTCAATCACAGATGATATTATGTAATCTTTGATGAAAAAGCACTAGAAAAATATTCAATATTAATACCTATTGTACAAAAAGGTTTCATTATTATCAGATGCAAACATAATTTGTGGATAGATCATCAATTATTATTCCATTGAAAAAGAATTCTTACCTAACACGATTCAATTTTTCTTGTAAATCATTATTACTATTGTTATGCGTATGATTAACAATAGGTAATGTATTGAAAAATGAATCTGAAGTCGTAGAAATATTAATAGTACTACCATCGGAACGTGTCTTTGCTTGTGCTTCCCATGTTGTCATATGTGAATTTGATGTTGATGTTGTAGGAATTTTAATAATTGATATTGTTGTAGTTGCTGATGTTGATGTTCTTGTTTGATAGTCATAACTTGGAGAATAATATTGATGATGATGATGATGATGATTTTTCTTTTGATATTTTCCATGACTTTGAGCAATCCAACGAGATACATAACTTGCTGGTGTTGATACTTCAGAATTGGATGTGCTTACAACAGTCGTCATTCTCGTCCGCGATGTTCAATTTGAACTCTCTTTTTAAATGGTATTAATGAGAGATATTACCTAAATGTGATACATATAATACATAAAAGAATACATAAAGGTGTATTTAACCATAGTTTCACAGTCGCGTATCAGTCATATCACATAACAGAAAAAAAAAGTGAATAAGTTGAATATATATGTATGTATGTATGACTATGATCAAGAGGAGGAGAGAGAGGCAGGGAGACAGAGGGAGAGAAAGAGAATAACACACACAGACAAAAGACGATATAGGAGCTATTTGAATAAGATTACCCTCAGGTGAGAATTCACGTATGTAGAGAATACAAGAGTTAGTTCTATATTAAGCTCATCGCTTGTTCAAACCAAACGATTGACCACTAATTCATGTATATGTATATATAACGTGATGAAATGATGCAATCAAAAAAATTTGATATTCATATGAATAAAAATGAAAAAAATGGGAGGAGTATACTTGTTCTTTCTCCCTTTTTATTTCTTTATAGAGAAGACTTTTCTTCGATATCATTTCGACAAGGTTCGTCCCATTACAAAAACTTCACACTACCATAACAAATTAATTAATATTGAACGAATCAAGTTAACCAAATAACAACAGATAGTAGTTCATGAAAAAGAGAAAGACTGATGTTAGTTTAATTTATATCATCAAAATTATATATGAGTATACATTGAGTGAAAATCAAGGTAATGAAGACCTTGTCTTTTCTCTCTATCTCGTGCGCATAGGTTTTTTTTTCTCAATGACTTTTATTGCTAGTTGATGATATTCTATCGTATTCATTTAACAGACAATGATAGATGTCAATGACACGAAATTTTATCTTTACGAAATATCTTATATTTGTCTATTATACAGTCGATCAATTTCAATTTGCAATATACACTCAAGAATAGAAAGTGTGTATGCGTGTGTGTGTGTGTAGGAGAGCGCGTACACACATATGTTTGTCTCATCACTTCAATGAGATAAATATTTTATGAATGTATATTTTTTGTTTAAGTGTGTTTATAAATGTTTGTATATATACAATATATATATATATA